GTAAAACAAACATTTTTTTGTTCCGATTCTGTTCCTACTTTAGCAAAAGGAGCTGGGAGGAAGACAGTGAATGTCAAGTAAGTCGTTTTTCTCCCCAGCCCCCACGCCCCTCAGGCACACATTTCCCTTTTAACATTCTTAGATTACCACAACCTTTTAAATTCACTCCACTGTACTTACATACTGTGTTAGACACACCAGCAATTATGGCTGTTAGCATGACACATCCATTGCCTACACTTAGTTAACAAAATAACTTAAAAGTCGCATGCATCAGCCTCTTAATAGGGTTATAACCAATGGGACCCTGGAATGAAAGCCCTAAAAATTACCCCCCACCTCTGCATTCCCCAGGTTGCTGACTCTGCCAACACAATCCATATGGTGGGCAGTCTCATCGGCTCAAGGTGAACGTTTAGTTTTTTGGTTCTCAGCGTTCCCTTGCATGTTCCTGCCRTATTTTCCCCACGGTAAACCCAAGGAACTTTGAAGAAGGCTCTGTAAAGGAAGCAGAATACATTAATAAATACATTTTATGGCTTTCCTGACTCGGGGGGCGAAGCACCCACTGCAGAGCAGGTCTGGGAGTGTGGCATGGGAAATGCTGTGCCCGGGTTTCTTTGGAGCTGGTCGTGTCTGTCCACATCACAGCTGCTCCCTGGCCTGCAAGGGAGCCTGGCAGCTCCAGCAGTGCAGCAGGACATCACCAAACTCTGCTTGTGGTGCTGAYAGCTTCCTCCTCAGTTTTGGAATCACAGAATGCCAGAATGGTTTGGGTTGGAAGGGAACTTAAAGATCATCCAGTTCCACCCCTGCCATGGACAGGAACACCTCCCACTGTCCCAGGTTGCTCCCAGCCCCGTCCAGCCTGGCCTTGGGCACTCCAGGGATCCAGGGACAACCACAGCTGCTGCGGGCACCCCGTGCCAGGGCCTGCCCACCCTCCCAGGGAGGAATTTCTTTTGTAATCTAACTTAAAAATTCCCCCATTCACTTTGACCCACAACTCCTTGTCCTGCCACAAGTTTTGAAGGTTTTGACCCAAAGGCAGTTTCAGGCACTCAGTGCCCCAAGGGAGAAACCCCAGGGCACCCAATTGTCACCGAGGTGGTGGCAAATGACATAAAAGATGGGAATTCCTGCTCCATCCCCCCGGAGAGGGCAGGTTCACCCCAGCACTCCGCCTGCCTCGGAGCCGTCTCACACCTGCTCTGAGCACRGCAATGCACGGGAGCAGCCACAGGATCCAAGGGGAGACACGGTGCTCTCACAGGGAGCAAAATGCACAGCTCATTTCACCCCAGGGCTGTTTGGGGACAGGCACTGCCTGCTTGCAGCCACCCCCGGCAGGACAGGGCGCAGGGGACACGCTGGACCCCGTCTCCCTCCCCGCCCTGCTGCCCACTAAGTTATGACACTGCAGAGAAAATAAAAAAAAATCAACAAGAAAAAGAATTTTGTGCTCAGCTTAATCAGACTTGGACCAAGTCTCAGCTCGAACCAAGGTTAAATAGGCCTTTTCTAAGGTAGGATTTATATAGCAATTACAGTAATGGAAACGGAGCTTTATAATTCTTATAGTGCCTAAAATTCTGCTGTGTCATATGCATCTGCAGAGCCCGAGGAATGTGCTGCTCGGGGAGCACTGCAGTCCTGAAAGCAGCCATTCAAATGGATCATGGAGAGTTATTGGAGCACGTGGACGGCCGGGATTTTTATGAAGCACAAAGAGTTACAATCAGAAACCMTGGGAAAAGCAAGGAGCTCGTATCTGAGACAAGCAGAGTTTTTAAAAAACACTTTATTTTGTCGGGAATGTACGGAACCGKATCTCCATCGTGGTGCAAGCAGCACCGAGAGTGTCCTTTTTATCCTTGGATTTGTTTCCCTTTGCTGCAGTGYGAGATCCACGGTGCAAAATGCATCTTGGCCAGACAGAATCCTCGCAGCCGCTCTCCAGTTTTCTCTGCCGTGCAAGGAAAAATACCGGCGCTCTGAGCCGGGGCTGCGATAAAGAACAACTCGGGGAAGCCTCGGGGATCTGATAGGGGGTTTGGCTCCACCTTCAGGAAGCTGAAAAGCAGACAGACAACGCGGGGTTGATTTTCCGAMGCTTCCCGCAGAAGCTGGAGCCCCACAGCCGCCCCTTCCCGACATCATTCCTGCCCCACAAAGGGTCTCTGCTCGGATTTACCGCACATTCCCCCATCCGATGCCGGGGTTTTTCTTCGCGGTTGATGCAGCTCTGAGGAGTCCWCCTCCTCCGAGAAAAACTTGAAGGGTTGGGACAGCATGTGCAAAGGGAGCTGGAAGGTGGACAAAAAGCTACAAAAAGCAGCTTTGAGRTGACAAAAGGTCACAAAGATACCACAGAACTGTCTCAAACACCATTCACGCTGCCGGTGCTGAGGTTGCCCTGCAGAATGTGATTTTCTCTCATAATTCCCAGAGATTAGAGAGGTTCTCTGGGTATCACAGATGGATTGAGAGGAAGAAAGTGGGAAGAGTCTTGATCATATTTCAGTCTAGCAAAACACTTAAGCATATGCCTAAAGTTAAGCTATTTTTTCTCCTCGGTTTCAGGCAGAAGATGCAAACAGAACAATCTCTTATATTTCACTTTTTGGCAGACTCTGAGGCTGAACCCAGAACAAGGTAGCTGGTTAGAGAGCATGATTTAAATGAATTTAAATGGTGTATTTTTTTAAAGAAGCCACAGAGWGACCACTTTTAATAATGAAAATGGCAGAGTGGTTAGGGATGACACCCCGAGTTTGAAAGTCTGTATGATGCATTAGTGAAATAATCAGCAATCACACAATTAGCAACAGCCCTATGAGGCAATGGAAATGCACGGTCTTGCCTTTAGAATTTCCCCAGCTGGGTGCTTGAGCACCCAACTTTATTGTTTGTAACATCAGTTTCAGGAGGAAGCCGGTTTGAAAAGTGCAGAGCAAGCAGCAGTGCAGAGATGGCCTAAACACCTAATGAATCTAAAAATAAAAAAAMCTCAAAAACACTGAGAGGAGATGGGAGCAGACTGAATAGACAGAGCTGTGCAAGCAAATATAACTGAATATACTCCTGAGGAACAAAGGAAACAATCCTTGATGGGGTGACAACAGATGTTCTCCAAGAAAAAATTCTAAGGGAGCATTTCAAACACAAAGACCTTCCTGTGGAGCTGAGAAGTTTTACTGGCAGACGTACAGGAATACATCCTTGGAAACAGAATAAAAGCTAACATTTAAGGTGTTATCAGGTCCTGAAAGCAGCAGTGATATCTTCATGTAATAAGTTGTGGGTGGTGGTGGAGAGGGAAACGGTGAGGATAACAAAACACTGTCACAGGAAGTGCCGTAGCAGAGTTGAGGTTTAAATCCCGGGAGGAATAAAAGGTTTGTTCTAAAGAACCTCAATGAAAATGAGCTCTAAACAAGTGAGAGATGCACAGGTTGACCCAGCTGAAGGAATGCAGCCCAGAGTCATTTATTAGTGTAGTCAGCACACTTTCACCCTGTGGGAGAGAACATGGAATGCCCAAAGCTGGATGTTTCTCCCAACTTTTTCAGAGCATGAATAAGCACACTGCAGAAAATCTTAAATTGGTCATTAAAAAAAAGAGGGGATGGAAATAGGACAGTTTGTAGAGCCATTTTTGAAATGACTGAAGTGCCCTAGTGGTTTGGGAAGATCTGGATTTAATGCCTGGCTTGGATCTGCAGCATCTTTGTGAACAGTTTCCTCTGAGTTTTTCAAGACTGGGCATCTCAAACTTTTGTTTTAAACTCTGGCCTTAACTTTTTATGTTCTTTATTTTTACAGATACAGAATAATACTTCTCTGCCTCGTTGGAACATTGAAGGGATTCCTGACTATTTGCAAGGCCAGCAGATATCATTTTATCTGGGAATGAGGCAGGAGGACAACATAGTACATTGTCTAATTATTTTCATTGCTTTGCAACTGTTTTGGGGAAAACAACCCCGAGAGAAGATTATTCTGGTGCAATCAGAACTAGAGAAAGACTGGGATGGACAACTTGATTGACAGGAGAAAGCTAAAGCAGGCAGCAACACARAAAATCATCATTGGACAGACATTTTGATAAATATTACTGCAGCCAATTTATTATTAACACAGTGGGACAGCTTTACATCTTGCATCACACTTTTCACAGCCCTTATGGTAAACATGCCATATCTGACAATTACAAGATGAAAACAAAGACCTCACTAACTGTCTCCTGGCCCTGCAGCATTATCTGCTTGCTCAGTTAACCCTCTCTGCACTTCAACTACGCAGCTGARTGAGCATATAGAAACAGCACCGAGTGTTCATATAGAGAACACAACCTGGCAGCAGCCCACGCCATTTCCAGAGGTTAAGCCGTCTGTGGCACTCGTCCCTAAAAGGCTCACCAGGCATGGGAGAGGGCTGTGGCTGAGATGGGAAGTTGTCAGGACAGGACAGAGGATCCAGGGAATCCCTTCTGGAGGGGAGAGAGGTCACCCATGGCCGTGTCCTGCTGCAGTGACAGAGCAGGGCAGCCCCCGCGAGAGCAGCCCCGGATCCCAAACCAGGCTCCAGCAGGGAAGAGTCCCACAGCAGCTCTGATTYCCTGGAGCTGCTGATGCACATCTTCTCCCTCTACACAAACTCTGCAGCTCGGACTGGCAGGTTGTTCTCTCTGCTGGCTGCTTGGCTTCAGGGGATAACAATCTGATGCACCTGATCACTAAGTGTGTTCTCATCCCATTCACATAAAACCTGCTCTCAGAATTTTTTAACGCATAACAAAGCACAATGTGGATTGCTGAAATCACCAAATCAATCCCCCTGCTATCTGTGCACCTGGAGACACATTTGAGAATGAAATCTTGTATGAGAAATCTCCCCAAGGCTATTTTTTTTATTGTAACATCCATGACACCTTCCTATTTTCACAGCTTCATTATCAGCTTCAGGGTGGAAAAACAAAAAGCAGACAAGTCACAGGATGATCTTAGGCAGGAGATTTTATTTTGATTCAAACATCTATTTTCCATCCACTTCCCGTCTGTTTTTCAAAGTATTTCAGGGGACAAAACTTGATGTGCACAAAGAGCATTCAGTGAGGGAGAGACCAAAGGGAGACAGAACAAATATCAGGCAAGGGAATGGAGCTGACAGGGTGTTCTTGTCTCTTTGAACCCACAAGGAAAATGCACGGTAGGAAGTATTCCAAAACCACATCTTTCTTGCGTGAAGGAAAGAATTAACGTTAAGCACAAAGTATTCCTTGTGGTTTATTCTCATTACGTGACATGTCAGGTTATGCTGATTTGGGAAAAAAAAAGGATTTCTTTACAAAGCTTTCTGTGCACTGGGCTTAATGTGAGTTAAAAAGAGCCTAAACCYCACAGACTGTGCTTTCATAAATCAATTTAGGAATCTCATTTTTTGTAATTCCCTTAAAAATAGAGTTTGGGGATATATTAATGACAGGTTGAAAGTTTCACCTGAAAAACAAAAGAATAGCCCAAATTTTTGTAGAAAACCATATTACATTCAAGTTTCTATGGTGTGGGTTTCTCCCTCAGTCAGTGCCAGTTTTCATTAGAAGGTGAAGAGAATACTTAAAATTGGTCAAAGAGCATGAAGATTTTGTTGGCATGTTTTCTGTCTCTGTGTGTACGTACTTTTCCTGAAAGAAACATCCAGTGAAATCCTGGTTGTCCRGAAGACTTTGGTCAAACAGCTGTGAAAGACACCGAATTTATTTCACTGCAACACAATTGATCCAAAATAAGAGCCTTTTGAGGGTTTTAGTAGTATAAAGAATTCACTCTTTTGACACTCCRTAGCTGTAAAACACACAGCAATTTATTTTCAGAAAAAAAAGTATTTATTTCACTATGGGTGGTTGCAAGAGAGKAAAGAAAAAAATCAAAATAAGCAGAACAATTATTTCCTTGTCTAACCTCAGCACACCCCAACATCCACCCTGCTTTTTTTTTGGTGTATCATCTACAGCTCCCTTTTTGATGCATCCATATTTCTACTTTTGATCAGCACTGACCAAATTTTGCAACTTGACCAAAATGTACAGAAATAATTACTTCAATTAACAGAATTTCACAGGCTACACCAGCCTAAGATTCATGGCTCTTTGGATTTCAACAGGATAGAAAAGAAGGCAGTTTGTGTGGTTTGGGATATTTAAATTAATTTCCAAACTGCCACAAGGACAGACCCCAAGTGTAATCCTAGCCCATCCATGCTAAAACTCTTATCAATTTCAATGGAATAAATATCAGTATATTTATTAGGAACAACTCCTTCTGCAGCTCTCTGTAACACTCTAAATGACACAGACACAAYACCAGTGCAAATTGCAAGAGTCTGCACGTTATAATTTAGCTACAAACTCTGTGCTCCCAGAAACAGAGCAGTCCCAAAGTTCCACCTTTGAGGTAAACTTGTTTATGTGARGAACCTTCACATTTTATCATCTTTGTTCACCGTGCATTTAATATTCTGTTCTGACGAGGTGTAATCAGTAAGTCCTCAGCAATTCCAGTGGATGACTGGATCCAGCTGTAAAAATAAGCTGCACCTATGGATTTGTGCCACTCTCTGCCAGAGTTAGGGATAGGTCTGCATTTTCCTGAAGGTTGCATTGGTAATGCTGAGCCGGGTCAGCCTGGCCCCATAATAATCTATGATGTAACTGGAGCCATCGGAAGGGCCAACGATCTGCAACAGAAAAAAGAACCAAGACTTTTTCAATATGAAGTGAAATATATACTTTGTGCTAATGTCTCAATTACTGCTAATTTTCCCATCATAAAATTAGTCATGCTTAATTAGTCAAACAGAAACTAGATTTATTTTGAAGTTATGCTGCAGTTTAACTGTTTTAGTGAGCGCTGTCTCAGAAGGAACATTTCCCCTGGGCTTCTAATCAACCAAATTACACAGCCAGGCACTGGGACTCRGTTAATCCGATGAGGATTTGAGTCTCAAAACCAGCCTAACAAATGAGTGGGCTCCAAACCACTTTTCCTGAACAAAGGAGGGTCGGCAGCAGAGAATTAGGCTGATGACAAGTGTCTTTGAAATACTGAACAGGTAAGGAATGAAGAGAAGGAGGAAAGATCGCTGAGTTTTTGTTCTGCAAGTGCTAAATTGATGTGGAGTCACCGGGGAGATCAACAAGGAGAGATGAAAGAGTCAACTGGATCTGTAAGTGCTCTGAGGCAAGATCACTACGACAGCATAGAAWGGAATTTGAGAATGCAGACAAAAGACATAGACAAAGTGCACACTTTWAAAATATTTTCCTACAAACCCATAGAAACAACTCCCACATCCACAGTGGATTTTGAGTTCATCATAGCCCATCTGCAATTCACACTAAATGGCTGCACCGCCGAATAAAACAATTTGGCAATTTCATGATGTGGCAGGATGTCACTCCAGCTGGGGATTTAACCCCCATGAATCCCTCAGTCACAGCTCTCAGGTGAGCTGGGACTTGAATGTGCAGGAGAGGTGGAAAATGAAAGTGGCAATGTCTTCTTTCATCAGCATAAAGCACACGCAAGCACAGAACTTCAGGATTCTGGGARCAGCAGGACATCTCATGCTGAGTCCATCACTCTGCCTCCCATAAAGAGGTTCTGACCATGTGAATTTATGGTGCTTCAGCTTCCAAGCTATTCATTATTTATAGCTAGCTAATCTAATTTTTAATTCCAACAACAACTATATTGATATTTTGTGTCTATATTCTATAACATCAACCTACAAACAGAACAAAAATAAATGCCTTGATTTTTCAATACCCAATGATTCTTAAGGCCAAAATGCTAACAAAGTATTAGTAATAAAAAAAAAAGCTTTAAAAACCACAGATTTGTACCTTGCTTTAAAAGCCCTGGCTTACCTGCATTGAAATAAGTATGAAATCAATTAAGCTCCCAATTCCACAAAACCCTACAGTGCAGAACTTTAACAAACCTAAAAAAGAAAAATAAAATTTAATGTAGCTTTACGCAATCACTAGGATTTAATCACTGGTGGCAATCACATCCAAACTCTCTCTTCATCTCACAAAATGTGTGTGTGTTTAATTTAAAAGTAAGCCTAAACTTCTTTAATTATTATGGAAAAAAAAACCCCACATATCCATATTTCTACATCCTGAATGCACTTCGGAGATTTTAAATATTTACAATTAGTTTTTCTAACATATAAATATTCTTAAACAAGGAAAGGCCAAAGTTGATAATCAGGTTACTGAAATATTCCTTTGTCTGAGGCACAGACAAAAAAATCCCAACTTGAGCTGCAAAATTTACTTATGAAYAGAGACTTCCTATGACCTCATGAGTTGCAGCACATACTGATTTGATTTTCAGAACATGCAACTTTGGAAAACAATCCTTTRTATAATTTTCATATTTTTGCTGAAATATGAATTTGTTTTGAATATAYWTAAAAATATATAAATACTTCTTTTCAACGGGTATTCAAAAATGTTGTTTTTTATACAAATAAAKGAAAGATTAATAGAAAATATATGGGAATAGCAGCTGACAGATGAATGTTTTATTGGAAGTTGTCCTGCAAGGCAGACTTCATTTGGAAAATGCCTTCAGAAAGAGGAGACTTTTTTTAAATTTCTATTTTTTTTTTTTAATATTAATAGTTTCTTGTACAATCAATGTAAWCCAGTGGGAATTACATATATTGTGAGTATTACTTCAGGCAAATATCTTGGTGAATTCCCTCTCTCCAGAGCATCAATGTGTCCACAAACCACCTCTTCTCCCCCAGGCCTTTTTATGGGGCTGCATATGGGGCAGAGCATCTCCCTGTCTGGATATGGCTCCCAGCTGACTGGAAGGAAAAGCCCATGTGCATCCTTCCCTGWGAGGCCACTGCAGCAGCTCCACTTTACTTAAGGAATTAGATGGAGGAGAACTGTTTCTGAACCTGGCATTTATTTCTGGAGTGCAGGGTAAGGTTGGGTTTTTTCTTCCTCCTCACTTCCCTCCCCACAAGCAGATCATACTGAGAAAATAAACTGCTCTAAAGCATGGAGGGAAAAAATAGTGTAGTTCTGCAGTTATAACTCATGGTTTAGTTCACARTGTGTGGGAGAGGAAGAGGTTGCCTTCCTGATTTCTTCATACTCAATAGCTTGTTTGTATTTGTGCACTCTTTAAACAAAAGAGAAGGGAAAAAAATAAACCAAAGAGCATTTACAGTCTTCACTACACTTGCAAAAAAGATTTCAATGCTATTAACCTTTCTTAACCATTTTTTGCCAGGGCACAGGTGACCTAAAAAATCCCTAATCATCCACTGTCAAGGAATCCAGCGTGTTGATTTTTATTCTTTTCTACTCTTACCTATTTTGCCTTCTTCACCTTTCAAAAGCTTGAAAACTTGGCTTTGGAAGAGTATAATTTTAAATATTAACTTTGGCTGCTGGCTACAGTATAATCCAGTAGGGTTAAAGCATCAGCCATAAAAAACTTCTATAAAAGAATTAAGGATTTATGAATCTATATTACCACAATATATTAAAAAATTATTACTGCAAATTATTATTCCAAATCCAGTGGTACAACAAAAATAATGCACCTTATTGACTGCTTTCAAAAATGTATCTTTTTGTGAAGCAGATGGACAAAGTAAATGCCAATTATAGAATCCCAGGGATGAAAGACATGGATGTTAATCAAGATTATAGAGAAAGACAGATAATGTCATTAAAAGGAGTCTGCATTTAATGGGCAGAAACTCCCAATTTCTGGCTGAAGTGACAGCAACACATACAGCTTTTTCCAAATCATTGCTCCATCCTATCTACACTTAAATTTACTCCCTTTGTCCAGCTCAGAACCAAGGCCAGTGAAGGCAGTTSTAACATAATAATGTATTCCATTATTTAAAAGCCAGAGGCACCATCAGCCTGGGAATCAGGTCCTAAAAAGCAGAGAGAGGTCTTATTAAGAGTCTCAACCTCTGCAGAACTGTTATTAACACCATGAGTTATCTTGAAAACATGCATTTGCCAGAATAAATTCCATCTCCCAAAACACCAGGTTGACTGTAAAATTTGTCCACTTTTTTCCTGGTAAAGTCAAGCCTCATTTAAGGCTGGCACATGAGTCAAAGCCACTTGTGCCCCAGTGCTTCACAAAGAATGCTGGAGTAAACATCAATGCAAAGCAAAACTTTGAGCAGCAACAACCACATTTGCTTATTAGGATTTTATCTGCTGGACAACTGTATCTCCATTTGTCACCACTCCAACAGAAGAGCAGGCTGAGGATAATGCAGCATTTTATCTCACTTGACAATAAAGTATGGATTCTAGCTGTAAATATTAAAACTGTGACTGTCAGCCTTCATTATTCAAAATATGAGCATACACATATAACTCAGTCATAACAMAGCTTTACCTCAAAGAAAACATAAGGAATAAACTTACCTAATGCAGGATAGCCTAGATAAAATCTATCTGCTCCCAGCCATCCAAGAAATAAGGACAGAGCCACTGCCACTTTGTAGGAGTATCCATTTCTGCCAAAAGAAACAAGCAATGTAGATAATGACTGCAAAATATACTCACTCATACTTTTGACTGTTAAAGTAGTGACTCATTTTCCTGCTGCTCCAGTTTAAAAAAAAAAAAAATACAACAGACTTGTTATTTGTCTTCAATTAACGGCCACGGCATTGATAATGTTAAGCTTTCAAACTGGGAAGGCATCCTCCATAAAGGAACCTCAGCTGCTGCAACTCAAGGGTACTCTTGCAGAATACAGATTATTCTGAAACTAAATGATGATTTCTTGTCAAGACATAATTCAGTTGCTGAACCATCCCCAGCTTCACAGAGCACTTCCTAACAGTTCAGCCCTACTGAGACAAGCCCAGGAAGCCAGGAGGTGTGTGAATACTGTCTGCAGGCATTAGCCTCACACGCAGCCAAATCGAGAGGAACAGGACAGACAGGTGAGATGTCAGCAGAGACAGTAATTGCCACGAGAGCTGAAGGAGAAATGAACCATGGCCACCGGCTGAAGAAGCTGCAGGAAGGATTCAACAAAAAGAGTAAGTCATGTATTCACTCATTACACCRTAAATGGCACAAACTCACAATGCAAAGAACTGTTGACAGTACAAAGATGCACAGGRGTAGAGAGGCATTCTCAAGTTAAGCTTCCCATGGTTAGTCATACAAAATAAATAGATAGAACAGACTTTTTCAGATTTATCCTAATTGGAACCATTCTTGCCAACAGCTGGAGCGATGCAGCCACCAAACCACCTGTTACTGCAGTCCCTGCTGGAGAACTTTGCACTAATAAGGGAGCTAAAAACATATCGCTCTCAAWGCTGGAATTGCTGCCTCGGCGAACAGCAACCTTCTGAACAGCAAACCCAAATGTAATTAGAACTGAAAAATATTCAATAATTCACTGTTTTGATACGTGCACTACTCCGTGCCAGCAATTATTTAATAGGCCCAAATTAAACTCTTGGTTGACAGTTGAATAAAACAGTTTCAAAAAGACAGTAGCTGACAAAAGTCCAAGCACTTTTATTAAGCATTTTCAGTGCCAAGTAGAGACCTACCTTTTTTGCTTATTATCTAAATTTACTGACTTTAAAACCTAATGGCAACATTAAGTGATTAAATCATGACTCTTACCTCAGTATTTGTTACTTGGTGTTTATTAGCAACATGGAACACACAGGGCATTCCTGGAACTTAATGTAACGTAAATTATCATCTTTAGAACTGTCTTGTTTCCACTGGAAAGAACACTAATGGGTTTATTTAAAACTGGAGGTAAACTGTTAGAAATTGTTTATCAACTACAAAGTGTCAACAGCCCTCCAAGGACACTAAAGCATAAAAAGAGCTGTTACATAAAAAATGGGAACACGGTTTAATTTTGCTCCTGATCACAACTAGTAATAAACTGAGCACTTGCCTATGCACTGAGATGCTTTTGAAAGCAGAACAGTTTCTGCAACCTTGTCAACATSAAACTGATGGGCAGAAGAAATCCAGTATGAAGGGGAAGAATGAGAATACTGTAACAAACAAAGCTGCATCCTYTTTCCTTTCCCTTACTCCTTCAGATAAAAACATGCATGAAGAGTGAACCAGTGAGTAGGAAAATGACACTTCCCAGGCATCTGAAAGAATTTCTGCAATTGGATAAAAGATGCAATTTGTTGTCAGTTYCTCTTTTGATTTTTTTCTTGCATCTCAGCCTCATCCAACCTTTATGTTTTCTACAAACATTTCTTCCAGCTGCCATGTTATAAACTCTTCCTCCCAGCTCTTCCACAGCAGTTGACAAGAGCAGGGGATGCTGTAGGTTGCTCTTTCAGGGCCTCTTTGGCTCTGCTCAAAGACCTGTCCACATTGAACCCCATGAATTTCACAGAGRACCATTTCATGGCCTGCTTCCCCGGAATAGCAACACTGTAACAATGGACTTTTCCAGTCTGCAGCATCAGAGCCTGCACGTATTAAGAAAAATATATGCTATCTGGGGGATTCTAGAATTTTGCAAAAAAATAAGATCTTCCTCCAAAACATCAAATTAAAACCAACCCTAAGCAATCTTGACTCCCAGTACTTCTTTATTGGAACAACCTTAACAAGCTTTCCCTTACGCAAACACGTAACATCTCCTGGTCTTGCTCTAAAATAACTGGATCCCAGAATTTAGCCAAAAATAAATTACAGTTTTGGCTAAAGCCAACTTGCTGATTTGCCCTTTCCAAAAGCTGGGGATGGAGAGTCACCTGGTGTCCCAATGCTGGGACAACCCTGCTATGGGAGGATGCCTTCTCAAACTAATTTTCTGGTTAAATGATGTGCACCTATTTCTACAGTTACAATTTCTATCAAAACTCAGGTAAAATGCTGGAAAACCTCCAAAAAACAGTAGAAAAAGCAGGGCTATTGTAATACTAAGCTGGAGATTCCTTCTTAAAACAACATTTCTAATACTTAGGTAACATTCAAAGTGTCTCATAAAAGGTCTATCAGTRACTGAACCACTTTTTAAATAAGTGTACAGATGAAGGATGGTGATATTAATCTTGCTGCCATTTTTTACTGGTTTTAGGACATTATGAAGGACATGCTTGTGTAACTTTGTCCACATTCAGGGTTGTATTTTACTGGAGTTTTCAGCCCAAAAAGGGGTCTCTTCTCTTTCTGCCATACCAGCAGCTGTGGGACTAGAAAAGCCACTGCAAGTTCTTTTGGCAGTGTAACCATTGATTATTCATCATAAATAGTAGTCAAGATCAAGTAATAGACACTAACAAGGATGACGTTTCTCTGCCTACAGACCTGTTTTTAATTAATAAATGTCAAGAAAATCTACCTTTAAAAAATTWTSTTTCTTGAAAATACACTAAACCAAAAATATATGTATACAAAAACCCTCCAAACGTAAGAATTACCATCTAATCTAAAGAGGAAACAATTTCATTAAGCTAGTAAAGCTCATCTTCATCATTTTCAGTCCCATCTGTGATGGGGACTGAAACASAATTGTTTCTGGACAAAAATGTGACTGACGTCTACTTTAATGGMATTTAAATTTGATTAGATGTAATAATATGTTTTCTTCAGTTTGCTGAGCTTTGACTGTTGAGAAGACTAAATACAGAGAAAATATTTATAAAACTAAGAGGCAGAGCTGTTACTTCTGAGTTAGGCAAATTACTGAGCAGCAAGTAGCACATCAGAGTTATTTGCCCCCTAGAGTGAGAGTACCCAGTATTACTGGAGTTTTAATTTCCAAAGATTCCAGTAGGACAAAAGAAAAAGGTTCCAGCGTGAATCCCAGAAAGAGGAAACAAATGGTAGTGACAGGTGCTGGCTGATCATTAGCACTGGCCAGTTGGAACATTTATTGGTATCCAGAGCTCTCCTTCACTCACAATGTGCTTTAGAAAAATGAGGTCCATCATTCATGTACAGAAACAGGCTCTTAAARGACACAGAGGATTGGATTAAACACAAAAGTTGTTTCAAAATACAGAACAGTTTCTCTTATAGAGATTTTGGGGGGAACTGGAGAGGTATTGAAGCTCCCCCAAAATTCATGCATAATACAACTTCAGCTGCAGCTACAGGCACACTTTAAACTGGCATGAACCACTGAGCAGCACAGTCCTGTCCAGCCTTCCTTTGTCCTCTCCTTTTTATCCTTGAGTCACCCTCAGCCCTGCACTGGCACAAGCACTTGAAGCCACTGTACTGTGACTCAAACTGGGGAATGGATCCAAGTCAGCTCAAACCCACACCAGTCCCCTGATGTCCTGGGGTCTGTCAGGAAAGGGGATGGAGAGTGTCCCCAACAGCTCCTTCCAGCAACTTGCTGATTTTAAGCAGACGTGAAATGTAGCCTCAGAATTTGGAACAAAATTTTGCCAAGCTGAAATGGGAAGTAAAGCAAAGGTAAAGTAATAAGGTAAAGCAAAGACACAAACATAACAAAAAATGTGCAATGTGCAGGCAGAGACAGACTTCCTTATGAACATGCATGTTTATAGAGCAAGCTGGTCTAGTGGAAGGTGACTCTGGCCATGGCAGGGGRACAGAATGAGATGGGCTTTAAGGYCCCTCCCAACCCAAACCATTCYATGACCCTGTGTTGCATCCCTACAGTGTTTATTAGAGGATTAACTATTGGGCAACRTGCATGGTTCTATTTTACTTCTATTTTCCTTCTGCCAACACATCATGCGATTTTGGACAAATATCAGGTTTTCAAAACCAAAGAGTACTCACACATTGCGACACTCAATAGGCTTGTAAAATCCAACTTCATGTCCCGTAAAGACTTTCTCTATGCCAAGGTGATCTCTGCAAGTAATATTTGGTGCTGGCAGACACTGAACTGAGGACGAAAAATTATTTGAAATTAAGCAGTAACTGACACTCATAGCAGTTTTCTGACAACACACAAGTGAAACAAATTCTACTGTGCAACTGTCTTGAAACAAGGCACAGTTCACACACAATTACTCGTTTAAAAATATTTATTTTAGCCACTCCTACCACCAACTTCTAGTTTTTTCTTGGTACATTTTAAGCAAAAYGTAATAACATAATTGCTGCCTCAATTCTGTTTAATTTCCACTCTGGCTTCCATATGAGTCAATGAGAAACCTGAATGTGACATCCAGAAAACATTTTCATCATGAGAACAGTSAAATATTGGAACAAGTTGCCCAGAGAAGTCATGCCATTACCATCCTTGGAGGTTTTCAAGGTCTGACTGCACAAAGCCCCGAGCAACCTGGTWGGAATTCAGTGCCAACACTGCTTTGAGCAGGAGGCTGGACTATGCAACTTCCTGATGGTTCTTTCTACCCGAATTATTTCACTATTCTTGACTCCTAGGGGAACCAAAGTGGAAATCACAGCAGAAAGTGATCCCTGCTAAAAGTTTGCAAAGTATTACCAGAATATTACTCACGCTCCAATGCTGTAGTCTGTTGTTTTAAAGGGGAAAAACCTCAGTCCTTTACCCACTTTCTATCATGTTTCAGCAGTTGTGAGCCCTGTTGGTTAATTCCAACAAAACTGCAAGCCAGGTTTAACATTTCTTTCAAGATTTTCCAGTAATGTACATAGGCAAGAGATGGATTTTTTTTAATGCCTATCCGTACTACAAA